CTGTAGGGTACAGGAGGACTCCACTACTTTGTTATTGGAAAGTAGCTGTAGTATATTTAGTTATAGAGCTGGCTCCACAAGTTTCTCAAGCATTTGTTGTCAATTTTAGTGAGCAGATACAAACTTTTGTTTCAACCGACAGGTCAATTATATAATAAAAGGTTTTATAACATTTTCTTTTCTGCTTATAAATTATTTATCTGTATTCAGCAGTTACTCTGGAAACCCATTGAATGTGACCTTCCAGGTATTTTTGTCAGGGTATAGCCTGCTTTGTTCTAAGAAAAAGGTTTTATGGTGCTGAGGATATTTAGAGACAAAAGTACAGATTGATTGTTAAATCATCTCCAGATATTTTTTAGAGGATTTGCAAGCATAGAGTTGCCCAGCTTGTTGAGTTCTTTAAAATAATTTCTCATTATGCTGTTACCCCAGCAGATGATGGTGAAATAGATCACTCTCTCCACAACAGACTGATAGGAGATATGAGGCCAAAGGCATAGGTTTGATTTCAACTTTGGTAGGGGCACTATTGGTCTTCAGTTTCACTAGTCTGATGTCATTGGTCCTTTGAAAAAATATGCATGCTCTTTTTTATGCTTAATGTGAGCATCAGGGCTTATTTTGTTTAAAGAGAACAGCCGAATTTCTTCCTAGATTAATACAAATCTTATAAGATCTACACACACTAGATGCTGTTTATCAATGTTTAAAGCATCACTGGCTCTGATGAATTAGGAAATAGGACTTTTTTCCACTTTGAAAAGGTTTGCATTTAAACTTACCAGCGACTATTTAACCAAATATAGTCTAAATATGCCTGTTATATGTGGATTTATCCTGTGTTTCCTTTTGAAGATATAGAATTGTGCAGAGGTAAAACCCACTCTTATTTTTATCTAATATGCTCTCTCTGTATCAAGCAAAATAATACATTCAAGAGCCGGCAAATAAATGCAATAATACAATATATTTATATCTGCACTGGAACTATAAGAGGAACTTACACTGAGCATTTAAAATATTAACTTCACTTTACAAGTTGTACATATGGGCTGTAGTTACTCTGTCCAGCCCATTTCATGTATTTTATCTCGGGCTTAAACAATTAATCATTTTGATCTATTACTTAAATATTTGTCAACAAATTTAGTAATTGATTAATCATTAACTGGAGTATAGGGCCACTAAAACATGCCTTTAGCCGACAGAGCGACCCACTAAGAGCAGGAATTATACCAAGATTGTAAAAAATATGCAAACATTTTGCATTTAAGATAAAAAAAAAAAGTTTTTGTCTGTCAATATTCTCCATTCAATATTTCTCCTCAAGAGAAAATGTTTCGGTTACACCTGGTTTCATTTAGAAAAATAATCTTCTTTAATAAACCTTTGGCTGATCTGATTATTAATTGATTCATCGAAAAATATTTAACAGATTAATTAATTTGCAGAATAATCATTAGTTGCAGCCCTAATTTTATGGTAACATTTCAAACACATTTCTTCCATCATGCAGCACTGAAGGGCAGCTGCTTCACCCTGAGGCTGCCCTGCATCATTATATCTGTGTTTCCTACAATCATATAATGTTTCTATTATAAAAGTGTGTTTTTAATAGTAAAGGATTAAATGTAACACAACCTTTTATCATCATCCTATATTGCTTACTGTCAACAACGCTGTATTGTAAATTATAAACATATTGTTCACATCGAATTATTGGTAGGGACAAGTAGGTCGATCCAACATTTTGGTAGGGATATGTCCCTATGGTCCCTATGCAAACCTACGCCCATGTATGCAGCATATTGCTGCAAACTAGAGACTGACACGGGAGTGGAATTTCACTCCTGTCCCGTCCCACTCCCAGAGAAAAAAATTGTGTCCCGTCCCGATCCCTGGCCAGAGTAGAAATCTAAATCCTGTCCCGTCCCACTCCTGGTGAAATTACTCCCACTCCCATCCCGCTCCCATTCAGAATGACTCCCGCTCCTGCACCACTCCCATTCTTGTTGTCTTCAATAAGATTTCTGCCAATACATTGAATCTGAATTTCTTTTGAGAGCAGGTGAAAAACTCAGAGTGGAAGCACTGTTGGTTTTTGGGTCGTGTAGTTTTTTTTTGACTCGCATTATAGTGTAGGCTTCAAGGAAAAAACTACAAAATGGCAGCGCCAGTACTGGATTTTATTTCTTTCTATTTTATTTTATTTTTTGGCATTGATCCTAGTTTTTTTTTAGTTACTATTGGTTTGCTCCCGCTCCTGTCTGCTCCCGTTAATGTTCAATCCTGTACCGTCCCAATCACGTGATCGTTACTAATACTGACTGCCATCCCACGGGAATCCCGTGGGATTCCCGAAAAAATGTCAGTCTCTACTGCAAACACTGAAGGACCTAAATTTCCTTAAGAACTCCAGTCTTTCCTTTCTTGCAGTTTCACAGTTGTGTCTCCAGGTAAACACTGAGGTATTATTACCTCAACTTCTTCTCTAATATCAATAACATTCCATTTGTTCTTGTTTCTTCTGAAATTTCCAATAATCTTCATTCTTTTGTTGTATTAAGGATCAGGTTGTTGTCTCCACACCACGCCCTGTACTCAGCTTTTGTCCATCTTTATTCCAGCAACAACTGCATGGTCTATCTGGGAAAGAAACAGTTAAGCAGACAATTCTGAGCCAATTTTCAACTCAAAAGGGAGGAAAGAGAGCTCATACAATTAGTCAATGTAAAAGCTGAGCATGTACCTACGGTATGTCGTATAGAGAAATAAGAATAAGTACAGAAAAACAAGCCCACATGTCAAGGCTCAGAACAAGATGACCTAGTGTTCGAGAGAGGCAGAGAGTTAAATTCTCAAAAACATTTATTTAGGAAACAGATCTGAAATGAACAACGAGGGTGTCTAAGGCAGGAACCTCTGCAGGGAGAGAGCACAGGTTAGTGACCACATCTATCTGGCAGAGGATCATAATAAACATGTAAGTCGCTAACCTGGTCTAAAAGTTCAGTCTGTGCCCAGAGGAAGAGGTTGGTTCTGGGCGGTCGGCTGTCAAAAAGAGATGCAGCAGGGGCTGCCCAGAGAGTGCCAGACACTGAAGTCACGGAGGTCGGAGAACAGGCAGGACATAGAACCTACCAGATGAAGAAAGGCAGGATAATCCAGAAGGTGAAGCCACAGCCGAGGACATGGTTAGGTGCCAGGGCAAGGAGATCAGAGATAAGAAGACGAACCGAAGGGGAATCTGGGACAGTGTTAGGAAACAGTTCCAGGTTTGGTACACAGGCAGAATCCAGCAGGTGTCCGAGGACAGGATAGGCAAACAGATCAGAACGGGGACAGGTACGCTCAGAGGTCCAGAGGAAGAACGTGGGTCAGATGAATGGTAATGGGAACTGGCCGGAGCTAGGAAGGTGAATGGAATAAGTAATCAGGCCAGTAATCAGCACCAAGATCATGACAAAAGGAGAAGAACCCATATTCAACCCACTGTAACTGACTGGACCATCTTGTGGGATCAGACTTGCAAAGAAAACTGAGTTTAGTCTACACCTTTTGGTTGGCCCACTACCTGGCCATCCATCTGAGGATGGAATCCTGACAATTGACTAACAGAGATCCCCAGCAGAGGATAGAATTCTTTCCAGTATTGAGACACAAACTTGGAGTTCTGTTAGAGATTATGTCAGTTTGTTATAATAATAATAATAATAATTATTATTATTATTATTATTTATTAGTTGTGCGTTATGTCCACTTATCTCCTAAAGGAAAGTGTACAAAACGGTAGAGCTATTCAAAATATAAATAATGTAAAAAAAATTACCAGACTGTCTTTATAAAAAATGACTATCCTGCAAATTGTTTACATCAGGGGATCATCAAGAGCTGCTTAGTGCTACAGAAGGTACAAAGCACTATCAGCAGTGGAGTCTTGCATGGTAAATGTGCATACAGGACATGGTTGTTGCATTACTTAATGTTTTCTAAAAAATAATTGGACCTGCTAATTCCAGGCCTTTCTGAAGCTCACTGCAAGCAGTCTTTGGCTCCCTGTCAACTCTTCTGATAATCTTTTCACTCCTCTGTCAGAAATCTTGCGAGGAGCACCTGCTTGTTCTCGGTTTATGGTTAAATGATGTTCTTTCCACTTCTGGATTATGGCCCAAACAAGTTTAGAAATCCTTCTGTAGCAATGCCATCATTAAGACTTTGAAGGTCTTCAGAAAGCTCTGTACTTTTACCGATCATTGGATGTTTCTTGAGCGATACCAGAGACCCCTTTTTATAGGCCATCATTTGGGACTAAACCAGCTGACATTATTTTCCACTGACAAGGTTTGCTTTATAATCACTGAGATATTTCAGCTGGTGTCTTGGCTTTCCATGCCTTTTTGCACCTCCCTTTCTTCAGGTGTTCAATATTTTTTCCCTGTGCCATTCCACATTATTATACATAACTTATTTTCTGGTCATCTATGGTTTGGTTTCTTTGCATGTGTGGATTGCATGGATTGTTACAGACATCTGCTGAAAATGTCATGTCATTAGCACTTCTAGAAATGTATCTACTGAGAAAAATGTTAGTGTGTTCAATACTTATTTTACCCGCTGCTGAGCTGCTATTTAGCAGAGTGATGATTATAAAGTGGAGGAAGCAAAGACAGGTTCAGTGGTGTGAAGAAGTATTTGTCCTTTTCCCCATTTTCTTTTTTTCATGTTTTTCACACTTAAGTGTTTAAGAACAAAAAACTTAAAAAAAAAGTAAATTACAACAGCAGTAACAAAAAGCAGTTTTCCAATTACGATTTTAAATAAAGGAGTAAAAAAAAATCTATTTATTCTCAAACCATCTTTTTAACCACACTATCAGCCAAATGAACGACAACCAAATATCTTCAAAAGCAGCAAAATATAAATTTAATTGAAGTCATTAGATAATATTTTAAGGGCTTAAAATCTTTACCATTTTATTCCAATTTGTATTCAAAATGTAATCTGTCCGAATAAAAAATATTTGGGAACAAACAGTTGTCGTGTTGTGAATTAAAATTATGGCATTAGCTGATGTTGTTGATTTATTATCTAAATTTATCGTGTTTCAAGATATTGTAAAGGATCTGGCAGAGGGAGATGCTGAAGGAGAAACAGATCAACAAACTTCCTGTGATTTAAACCTGATAGTTGTTTAAATTATTTACACAGTGAGGTATCTCTGTTAAATGTGTTTGATTAGAGGAAAAGCAATTTTAGTTTTTGTTAGTTGTTTAAGAAATCTTGTGCTATTAGTTTTACTGAACAGTTTATTATCTGGGGGCCAATCCCCCCAACCCTTAAAACCTAATGACGCCTCTGGAGAAAAGAATGTGACGATACATGAAGCCTATAGAGATATAAATGATCATAAAGTTACTCTTCTCTAGATCAGGTTTGACAAAGGAGACATATGTCTGCAATCGTGGCAATAAAATCAAACAGGCAGGAATACAACACAGAAATAGACATTAACTAATGAAACACCAGGGGAAAGAACTGGGAATAAACTCTGAGGCATCAGTGTCTTCAGGGGGCAGCAGCTTCATCACAAAACCAGGACTTTAAACATGTGATCTACAGTGTTTAGACCATCATAGGCTCATGTAGCACCAAGCTGGTATATTTTCATATTCCATCCTGTGTTCTCCTTTAGCTTCCATCATTTAATTTCTGCTGTAGTTTTTTGGTTGAGCAAGAGTTCCTGTGTTTAGTTGAAGGATTGTAGAAAATGTTCAGAGGATCTTCTTTATTCTCTGTGAGAATGAACTCATCTTTGGATGATTTTAATCTATTGGAGATCTTCATCATGTTTCTCCATATAACTGACTGAGGAACAAATGCTGCCCATCCCAGAGCTGATCTCAGACTGTCTCACTCTCTTAGCCAGCCATTCAGCAACGATGTTATGAGCTCGTTGATTCCTAACCTCTGAAATGCTCCCATGTTCTGAGGAAACATCTTCGCTCACTGAAACAGAAGAAAAACAATATAGATGGAACCAAGATTTTGTAGAAACTCAGTGAGTAATTCTTGATCATTTTAAACTTACTGTCTGGAATGACAAAGTCATCCTTGCTCTCTGCCACCTCCACAGAGGGAACTGTTGGTTTCTCTGGTTCCTTTGCTAAAGCTTTCATCATTCTCTCCATCAGCTCCTGCTCCCGTCTGTTCCACTCCTCTTCTGTCAGAATGCGTTGTTTTCTTTGCTGAGGTAGAAACTGAAATTTCTTTCTTTTTCCTTCAGTCGTGAAGCATCCTTTGTTCTGTTTTACCATGTTGATAATTGTTTGGAACAGCTCTTTGACTTGAACAGGATCATCATAATTAAAGAAGCTGAGAACATGGTATCTGTTCCCACACTTCTCCAGAAGCTCCTGGAGCTCCTTGCCCTCTCTGACGATGTAGTTCTCTACAGGGAGGACATTGAGCCATTCTCCCCTGGTAAACAGCACCATGCAGTGTCTCCACACTCTCTCTGTTAATGGCATCAGGACCTCCACCAGAGCTTTGAGATCTTTCTCAGTGAAAGATC